AAGGTGAAAAAAAAAAAAAAACTTGCAACAGTATTTTTTATTAAAGAGAAAGAGAATCCATCTAATAAAGCTGGCTTAAACCACCCCCTTCTCTCTCTATCTTTCTAAAATTTCTGGATCCAGATACGTTTTACTTCTCTGAAAATTTTTCCTTTTAACTCACTAAATTTTTCTAAAATGGACAAAAAAGAAAATTCACAGTAAATGTAAGTAAATCTGAACCTACAAATTTTCTTGCTTGTAGAATTTATGCGAGTCTTTCCGTTTAAGATGCTTTTTTATTTTTTTTTCTTTTGCAATAATTTTCTTGATTTATTTTTGTTTCATAAGTCAAGGGGAATGAAGGGTACGCTCCGCACGTGTAAAGGTTCCTGAAACGTATCGCTGAGTTGCGTGTGAATTTGAACTGAACACGTGAGAAAGGTGCGCGTGAGGGTTGCGTGGGTCAGCAGTAACGCCCCTGTGGCATGCGTCTCACCCTCACATTTCCATTGCTGATTGCCCGAATACGGTATACAAGTTTTTTTTTTTTTTTTAATTCTTAATATAAAATCTATTTAATTAATTTAATTAGATTAAAAAAAATTATATAAGTCAATTAATTATAAAATTATGATATATTTTTTTAAAATACTATAATTATCTTTCATAACATCATCCATTCCTCTCCTATTTAAGTATGAAATGAGGGAGTATCAATAAAAGTAATTTAGAAAAAATTGATAAATATGAAAAATAAATTTTATATCTAGGAGCAAAATCAATTCAATAATTAAGTCTTATATTAATACCGGAAGTGTCCCTAAAAGTTTATCCACTACCATGAATTTTCTTTGGGTTAAAATCTATCCGTCCAAATTTAAGAAGAGCTAAATAATATTAGCGTCATTAAAATTTGTTTTTTTACCAGTTATATCCCCAATTAAAGTGAAAAAAAATTAAGGATAAAAAATACTCATGAACTTATACTAAAAGTTCATCAAACACTGTATAATTTTTAATTAACGTATCAAAATACCCTAATCTCAAAGGGTTATTGCGTAGGAGTGTATTAAAGATTTATTTTTATATCCCAATCTTCATAATTAAAAAAGATTATTGATGTTGCTTAATAAATTTTTTCTTGATCGACACATTTTTTATCCTTTTTTTTAAATAAAATCTAGCTAATTGTTATAGTTATCATATTAATTATGCTGAAAATAGCATAAATATTATATATAATGATTAAACATTTTTGTGACTTATCATGTTTTATATTTTAGCATCATTATTACTTTTTTCCGAGGTGTTTTAATTTTAGAAAATTGTTAAATAAAGTAAAAATAAATAGATATTTACATTTTATTCTTTTAATTAGTATTTATTTGATATTTGAGATTTTTTATTCAATTAGAAAAATTATAATTAAATCTCAAAAATATATATATGTATATGCATATGTATATATGAGGATGCTCTAAAGTTTGTTCAAAATAAAAAATTTGAATCCATAGGATGGACATTTTTCTTGGAAGGAAAATAAACCAACAAGACCATGGAGAGGTAAAAGGGAGATGGTAATTTCTTTTCTTTTTTTTATTAACTTGAGATATTTTGATACTTTCATAACAAATATTGTGGGTCTCACTATCAAAAAGTGGATTTAAATTCTCCAAAAAATTGAACATTAACGTAAAAGAAATTTTAGGTTAACTGCTAAATTTAATAATATAAAATTGAGGATAAACACAATTCTATATGTTATTGATACAAACAACTTATTTTCAAAAGACAACCATAATGTTTACTAAAAAACAGATTGGGTAGATAAATTACTTACCGTTGCAGCTTAAACTTTTTTACACAAGTTATTTTAATTATAAAAATGTATTATAATTAATAATATCTAACACAATCTAGGATCTATTTGGATTAGCGATTGAAAAAATAGTTTATTATCAATTTGACTTTTAAAAAATTTAAATCGGGTAAAAGTTAAATTGGGTCGTGTGAATTGTATTTGAATTGGATTTTATAAAAGTTAGTTTGTGAAAGTAAGTTGTTTGGATTATGATTGAATAAGTCATTTTAATTTGTAAAATTGCTAAAATGAGTAAGACTTTTATTAAAAAATAAAAATAAAAAAATAATCATTTACATAATATAATAATTTTAAATTATTTCTAAGCTTCTATTGATCTCATATATTTTCTTTTTTTTTAATCATTTATTATAAAGGTATATTTGAAAACAAAAGTATATTTCTAACTTATTCATTATTTTCAGCTAATTTTAACTGATTTTTTGTTATCTACAAATTAGTTATTTAAGACTTATAATAAAAACCAGAGGAGGTATTAAATTCTTAATTTTTTTTTGTCTATGTTTCAAAAGTCATAAGTCATAAGTAGCTAATTTTTACTAATAACGTATTGTAGCTTTTTATGCAAAAATGAGATTGTTCCATTGCCAACCCAAACACCACAAATGTTTCAAACTTCCGCTTGAAAAAAAGTAACTTGTTGCCCTCCAAATACTGAGCCAGCTCCTAATGCAATAGTCCTTTGAAATCGAAGGTATTTTAGTACTTTTATAAAAATTATATGATATTTGGTAAATTTTTGGTATAAATTTGTGTATTTTTACCCTTAACTTTTTTGTTTTAACGGAGATATTTTAGTACTTTCATTAAAAAAATAATGAGTCCTACAATTAAAAAAAGAAGCAAACGTTAGTTAATTTTAATGATACTGGCATTATTGAGCTCTTTTTAAACTAATAGATTTGAATCCCAAAAAAAAAAAAAAACTGATAGTGTTGAATAAATTTTGGTATATTTTTATTAGTATTTTTAACCTTTAAACCTTTATTTTTGGCCAGACAAAATTAACTTTTTTTACTACAGGTCTATTATATGGTTATCATATAGGTAACATTATTACTTCTTTTTTTTGCCAACATATCATCTTTACAATATGTTAATAATATATGTATCATAAAGTATGACAAAACCATATACTATTTATTCATAATTTTGTAGACTTTATAACTACATAGGATGCATGGTAAAATTGATTACAAACCCACATCAAAAATGAAATCCATCAAACTTTAATCCATGCAGACATGCTAGTTTTTTTTTTTTTTCCTGGACTGAATATAGCCATGCTAGTTTTGATTATTTTCTTGCTTTTTTTTTTTTGTGTGCCAACGACTATTTTCTATGGATTGATCCCCCTACAGTTTATTTTTTTTGGCAACCTACACAATCTCTTAGCTGACACCAAAACTCCAAAAAATATAATATAAATTTTTATTTTGCAACAATGTTTATTAAAAATTGTTTTTTACTTTTGAAATATCTGTTTAGATTAAAAAAAATGTGAACTATAAATTTGCACAACACATGAAAATTGAAAACTTTTACATGCCCAAAAGTCTCTACCGAAAAAAAAAAAATCAAATCATTTGCAAATTTTTTCCGACAAAATTCGTTTGAGATCAGAGTTGGCTTTTTTACCACTCATTTATTAAAATAAAATAAAAAAAGAATCAAACAATTTTGAAGCAATATTGGAGATACTCCCAACCATAAGGAGTAAACATTGTAGACATCATTCTTGTACAAGAGTAGAAGTCCCTGTGAGAGGATAATCAATACCAATATTTTCCTAGAAAAAGCAAAATGGTGTAGCTTCCAAATAAGGGTGAGCTCGCACTTGCTTTGGTCCTTCCCCCTCCTAAATAAGATACCTATCAGCTTCCAAAAACACAACATACAGGAGGCAAATTCTCTACCAATTGAACGATAATTGGGTACTCAACCATGTTTCTTTACATTCTATCATAAAGCTGGTACGCTAGGATGATATACCATCATTTTAATGGACAGCCGTCATATATCGTCTAGAAGCAGTCACCCATCCAACATATTGCTTTTCTATACGAGCTTTAACAAGTCACTTTCCACATAGCTGAAACATTCCTTTTACCGATAGAGCAAACTACGAATTCCATCCTCCCTGTTGCTATCCTTGCTGCTGAAGAATCTTCATATATCATCCTCACTGAAGATAGCATCATTCCACGTCAAAAAATGCGATTATAAAACATGTGCAGTCATAATAATTTGAAAAGAAAAGAAAAGAAACAAATGGTACTCCGATTTAAAAATTTTAACAAGCAATTAGTTATATTAAATCTAATGCACATATGATGCGGTTAGACCAACTTGATATGTTTGTAAATAATTAAGATTAGTTATATCTTTCTAGGGGGAAGATATCGGGTAGGATATTAAAGCATCTTAGTATTTATTTTCTGATTTTCCTCCCTAATTCCTTGGGATATCAACCTAAAAGTTCAGGGGCCTAGTATTGTACCTTCGTTGGCCTTTGACCCTGTACAGGCAAACAGGTTGTATGCTTCCTGTCCAGACAAATAAGAGAGCCATCAGTAAACGATGCATTGCTCTAGTAACTTACTAGATATATAGCGCGTGCAAGAATAAAATCAGAAAAGTAGCTGATGGCTTAATTAATAAATGTGCAATTACTCACAGTCAATTGGGTGTTTATCAGTTTGGCGGGATGTATAATGCGCAGACAGTAAAAGCAACGAAAGGAACGCACTGGCAACAAAAATGGCATCAAACCACCGGTGATAAAAGTCAAATTGAATATCACCACCCAATACCTCTGTAATAATTATCCTGCCAAGAAAGTCAGACCAGGCATTAAAATGGTTAAGACTTTACAGCTAATAATTCTGGACATTCCAGAATTGGATCAGCCAAGAAATGTGACACAAGCCTCAAGTCCCATAATTTCATCTACTGGCATTCTAATACTGACCATGGTTTTCCAACACTATAACATAAGTTCAGTTTCACATGATTGAAACAGGTCAGTCAAGTGTGCAATAAAATAAGAAGCAATCATCATACCATCACCAACTTTAGCCTAATAATACCCGTAGGCAGAACTTCATGAAGTTGAGATAAATCGTAACCTAAGAATACACCGTTCCATTCACATTTTCAAGCTATTTCAAGGAGTTTGAGAATTGGTGTTCCAATACAAACAAGGATGAAAATGAGAAGCTCAACAAGCACAACTCCTGTTACTCAATAATTCACAGTAAGACCAAAGAGGTTTTTATTGGTCTTTTTCAGGCAAGAGTAGGGTTTGAAGTTTGAGGGAAGGTATACGGTTTAATCTTACTATGATGCCGCGAGAGAAGAGGGGCAAAATAAGAGATATACCAAAAGAGAAGTAGTACCAACCTATTGGACCCCTCAACATTTTTACACAATGTTCTATTTTAACCCACAAACCAGTTGGTCAATGCATGCTCCAGTTCAAAGCAGACGGTGAAAAAAAAAAATTATTAAAAACCAGTCAAATCAGCCATGAACATGGAAAAACTAACAAAACTGGACCAATTAATGCGCTAGGCAGCTCAATGTTCATTTTCTTTCCCTTCGATTAAAAGGTGGGGAAAAGATTGAGAACAACCATAGACAAAACCTAACCAGAACCAAGAAGAAGATATGAAAAGATGCAACCAAGACCTGGACTAATCAAGATCTAAAAAAGGGGGATTACGAAATTATAGAGAATAGAAAAGAAAATAAGAGACAAGAAATAGGGGGAAAATAGACAGGGTCATTATAATAGAAGAAACGAGGAGGGGGAGGAAGAATATACAATCAGAAGAAAACAATCAGGATTTAAAATGGGGAAAAAAAAAGAAGAAATGCAGCAGCCTTCATGTTTCATGTTTTCCAAGTTGTAGTTTGCACAAACTCACTAATGAATGGACAATCACCTATAAGCCACAGGTTAAAACCACCAAGAGAGGCTTTGTGTGGAGCAGAGCTAAGGCTACTAATAAGCAGAATGATTAATAGATATGAAATTATAAAATACTGCATTATATAGCTAACTGAGACTAAGTCAGGTGATAAAGGTGAAGAGATGTGTGAGTTAAGGTCTACAATCAAACCCTCTTGATATAATAAAAAAGTTATACTCTATAAAATACAAAATATAATTCATTTATATATTTATTGCTTTTCCATTATACTTTTCCTCATCTTCATTCATTTTTATTTTTTTAATTTATTGTTGTTGAATTATTATAATTTTAATTTTGATATTTATGTCATCATTTCTATCTTTCTGATTTAAAATAAGCAATATAAAATTAAAAATATATTAATTTAATTATGATTAGTTTAACCTGACTGATGAACCACAAACCAATACCTCAACAAATTTAATCACCAGTTCAGTCTTCATAACATTGATTTTATATGAGGGAACCCAAAAAAAAAAAAAACTGACATAAATGCCTTAATACAGAATTCAAATATGAAAATCATATTCTAACGCAGATTTCTACAAATACCTGTATTCAGTTGCCAAGCTTTTCCTGATTAAAAGAATAGACGATACAAAATACATTCCCATTATCTCAGACAGAAACAGGACTACATTGCTTGAAGATCCACTTCCAACACGGGAAACAGCAAAAAAGAACTGCATACAGACAAAACATTACAAAAATAAATAAACAAGCTACATAAGAAGTCACCACAACAAACTATTACTTCACTGTTATTTTGGTTTTCCAATAACATTTCCTTACATGCTTTTTGGGTAAAACAGTCCTTTACAAAAAAGTTGCTAATGAAAAGAGAGAACAGTGCAATAACAGGAGAGGTGATCCTCCCGGTCAAAAGAAAATTCTGCGATGTGAATATTTTTTGCAATGCTACAATATGATTTTCTATTCACAGAGCTGAAATTACATTATAAGACCAAACTAAACCCTTATTAAATCCCATTAATGGTGGCACTCCTTTGACAACAAATTAGCTTTCTTTGTGTGATTCTCCACCCTGTTTCAAGATTAAATGATGCTGCTGCCCAAGACTAGCTCAGGGAGTTGGGGAGGTGAGGATCTCAGTAATGAATTCCAAGCATCGTGATCCAAAAAATACGAGTTAGGAAAATGGTTAAATGTAGTGTCCCAAAAGTAAAGGGTATGAGTTCATTACGTGATAATATATTGGAGAGAACATCATATTAATATAGAGGTTGAGTCCATAACATAGCCTCAATTCCATGCATTTGCATAAAAATACCATGTTAATCATATAGAAACTGAAAAAAAAAGAAAAAAAGAGAGAGATTAATTTTTGAAATAAAAAGATAATAATCACATCAATAAATAGTTCCGTAACAATATCTAGCTTTTCTACTTTTATATAATAATATTGAGTCTTCCAATAATATTGACTTGGTCCTTTCTTTTCCTCCTTGACTCTAGCTCTCCCTATAGTATCAAAGCTGAGGTATCAATGGGACAAAAATTCATATTCATGATTCACTTCACCAGAACTAAAATCAAAACATCATTTTATAACTTATTTCAGCAAACATCAAAGGGAAAAATAAAGGCAATGTAAAGCTGCAGGAATACCTTCATTAGATTTGTTAAGAATCCACGCACCGATATGACAATCAACATTCCAATGAACAGTAAGGAAATGTACTGTAAAAGAAAAACAAAATTACTAAATTGTAGCCTCAAACCATGTTAACAACATAAACTTGACAAGTTGTCATCACACACACACAAGGGCAAACTGCGAAGAAACTAGAAAATTTGACAATGTCAACTTTCAAGAACTTGCCAGTGTTCCGAATCTTGCTAAAAGCAAGCAGAAAAATATCTAATATTATAAGGGAACTGCTCATAGCATAATTCAAAACCAAAGATAAACAGTGAGTCACTAATGAGATGTAGAAAACTTGGAATACATTCCTTGAAAACATTCGAATGATGGATTTAAGAAGTGGCACATGATTGAAAAGCTTAAGGAATAAAAGTAAATGGTACCATTTTTTTATTTGGCAGTTAAGCACTAGCACAAATGAAACTATTAGAGCAGTATTTATACCAAGCATTGACATAAATGTAAAGCATCATTTTGATTTATGAATTTCCTAGTCATCAATGAGGTCTAGTACGTGAATGAAAAGGTGAAAAGCAAACCTGCCTCATCATTTAAGACGTCACAAAGGACCTTGAAGCAAGCTCACGTTAGTGAAGGTCAACTGATAGTGAAAAGTGAAAACTGAATACAGAAAGTTCAAAAACTACAACGAATAGGTTCACAGCAGACTTTCAAATTGTATAAGCACAACCTTATCTTAACATGACTTTTCCTAGATGCTTTACAAAACAAAATTGACCACATTTTAAGATAAACAAGCATTAGGTGTCTGCGCCAGATTAAGATGACCACTAACCGATTCCAGAAAAACTCAAAAGGATGGCATGCGACAGGACTCTAACCTGTGATAATAAGGCAGCATTGATTCCGATGTCAAAGAACTGTAAGAATATACTAATTGTCCTTGTTACAGGATCAACAGAACCATCCTGCAATAGGATCGGATTATTGCAAATGATGGTAATTAGGGAATCTTAACATCTAGAGAAAAAGCTAAATCTTAGGAATTACTTCCGGAAAAGAGATACCTGCTTGAAAACAACACTTTGCAATGACTGGAGGGGGGGGAAAAAAAAAAGAGATCCAATCAATCAGCCAAGTCAAAGTGAACTATGATGAAAGAGAAGAAAAAAATCTCAAGTTTTTAATAAAAATCATCAATCTAAAATCATTATTATCCTTGCCAGATAGATTTTATCAACACAAAACACTATAATAAAACCAGATGCTTAGCCATCCTCTGTCAACCTTTTCTAGATCATTAATACTACTTAACAGGGGAACTCTTTCTTAGCTTTCAAGACTTTCCTAAATCTTTCTTAGCTTTTAAGACGTTCCTAAATTTTTAATACTTCTTATCACAAGTCATAAAGTCTATTTGGGCTTTCATTCATGTTATTTAGCGATTAGTGGGTATTATCCTAACACCTGACATCTCCTCGTAGAATTAATAAAAGAAAAGAATCTTGATCATGCTATGATTGGGAATTTGCCCGAAAACTTGGACAATAAGCTGCAGAATGTCTAATTAAGGGGACGTAATGCTTCTTTTCTATGAATGGCAAGTTATATGAGTACTATTAACAAATTACGATGAGACATTCTGTTGTGGTATTGGAATAAAAGAGAAAGGGAAAGAGAAATAGGGAAGAGAGGATATGAGAGAGAGAAATAGAAGGGACGAGAGAGAAGTAGGCAACATACTACTCCTCTAGTCCTATTTATAGGGCAAAGAGAAAAGACATTTTTTGGTCCTATTTATAGAGCACTGACAGAAATTTTTTGTGTGGATATACAATTTTACTCTCCATTTATTATTGTGTTGACTTTGTTTACATAAGGTATAATGTATATTAAATAGGGCTAAAGTTGGAAAGTTGTTGAATTTTAAACGAGTTAATAAAACTTAAGGCTTTTCTTAGTCTATGTGAAACATGTTGAAAGTGACTTATAAATAAGAACAGAGGAGTAACCTATATCATTCATAATCTGCCTTAATGGGGTACTTAACATCTATTTATAGGCAATAAGACTTCTAACCATCTCACATTCCTATAACGACCCATTCTGTTATTTCTGTTATTCATTTATTATTATTCCATAACATATTCTGACTTATCCCATCAGACCACATGCTATAGCTCTCAAACCATCAATACCCTGAATTACCAATATCTATCAATTATCAACCATTGCTTGCTCCAAGAACCCCTAAACTTAGTCAATAGATAAAAATTACCCTTGCCATCCCATGTCACAATACCTTGATCATTTTATATACACAATACACAGAACAAGCATAGCCAAGTAGATTCTGCAAGTGCCCCCTCCAAGTTCGAGAATAAGCGGCAGCTTCCTGCAAAATGACAAGTTTTCCTAATAAGCAGACTTGAGAATGAAATATAAGTTTAACAATACTCAGCCATATAAAATATTCCAGTGAGTGGACAATAGAATTTCCTCGAACATCCACGTCAAATAAGTTCAAGTCTATATAAAATTTATGTAAACGGCTGAGTTCAATTTTGTTTCTCAGTTGTATGCTTTGTTTTGATATTTTGGTACATATATAGATATCAGAGGCAACAAGCCAGCCTCCCAGCCTAAAGGATAATAAAATCTAGGTTAAATCTGGCCAAACCCTCAAAGCATAACTGACTTAAGAATAATAAATGGATAAAAGCTGATAATAAAAATAAGATAAACAATAAATAACAACTCAACGCCCTAGAAATACAATGCTGACTCCTTTTCTGTTTGAGAAGCACTGTTCAACACTCACACTCAAGCTGGGATGTATACGTTCACTATGCCCAGCTTTCCACTGAGTGTCTCAAGCACTTCACTTGGAAGTTTGTCAGTAAATCAAGGACCTGAGCTCCAGAAGGTACATATAACACATCAACTACCTTTGCTTCATTTCTTTCTGAGATAAAGTGGCGATCAATCTCAAATGAACACAACTGATACCATTGCAAGTAATTATCACCATCAAGTTTGTGACTCGTGATGAGGGAGGACAAGTCTTTGGCGGCAAAGGGCTGAGAAGAACCAGCATGAGACATTCTGGTGCGCAAGGAACTAGTATAGGTCATCTATCTCATTTTGTGTCTCAGCATTGAACACCTTGTACTGGCCGACTTGGAGCTAAGGATCATCATGGCTCGGATACCATCTAATTTGCAGATTAGTTGAGTCTCTACTTCAATTCTATTGGCTTCATGAACTTGTACATATAGCCAAAGGCTAAGGTCACACTCATTAAATCAAATCAGATTCTAATCTAATTATATCTGAGGAATATCCTAAATAATAATATCTACAAATGGCAGAATCAGATTATGATCAGATATTAATAATGATAGAATCTTCCTAAAGGAGCAACAGCGTGGTTGCTGTGGGCCAAGCCCATTATCGGCATCTGCAAACTCTGTGCGTGTGTGTGTGAAAAACTCCACTCATAATAACTCCAACCATCATTAGAACATAATACCAAGCTCATAAATGGTTAACATGTCAAAGTTAAAGGATTTCATGATTCCAAATTCACATTATGTAGCATTTCTATGCCCTTCAACAATAAGTTGCCCCACGTAATAACACCAATTACAACTACAACAAAAGCTTCAAATCAAGCGTTCCTATCACTAAGATCAAGTGACAAGACATCCAAGTTCCAAGTAGGAATAGATTTGAATTCATTCAGGAATTGGAATGAAATTGAAATCTGAACTTATTACCTGGGAATTAGTAATTAATTAGGAATCATTCAGAAGATTAGTTAGTTAAGAAGCAAGATAATGAACAAGTGGGAAGAACTGAGCAGAATACCCAGATCTACTTTAAAGAGGAGGAGGAAAACAATGTGATTAAGGAAATAAAGAACGCAACAGAGACAGATGAGATGAAACATCATTTTGATTGCAAGGAATATTTTCCAACAACTCCAATTGCTATATATGTTGCTTTTGCAGGAAGCTAAGAGGTCAAAGCTGGTAACAAGGCCTACATGATTCTCACTGTAGTGAAGAAGATAGAGAATATGTGATTGAAGGAGAACCTAAGGAAGGGAAAGAAGACATCATTCCTTAAGAGCTTGGAGCAATCACAAATAAATTTAAAGATGATGAAGGAAATATTAACCAAAAGGCGCCTAATAGAGGCCAAAAGATTGCTTTACCCACCCGCTCTAGCTCATTATCACATCAACCCAAGATTGCTCTACCCACCCGCTCTAGCTCGTCATCACATCAACCCAACCTAAGCTTTAGTGACAACATTCTTGAAGTTGTATCAACCAACAGTCACTCTTTTAGATGATTCAAAGAGAACAACATCCAAAAAAGCCTTGGAAGCTATACAGCATGGCACTTCACTCGGCATCCTATTGACGAAGACCCTCTATGAGTAGCCCTCTCCGAAATCATCATCAACCCAACTCTTATACCAATATATGGTTACCTAAACCTTACCCCCAGAGCTAGCTGTTGAGGTGGGAGAACTAACCCACCTAAATACCCTATTGAGCATTCCATTCTACTCAATGTGAGACTTGGTATCCCATACTACTAAGTCCCTATCACTATCACGCCACCAAGCAGTGTTTATAAGCAGCTCGGGCATTTCAGCAAACAATAGCTCTACAGCATGAACCAAGAACTTCCACAGGTCACCTCAAGGCTAGACCTTCACCAAAAAAGCTTCCACAGGTTTCGAATTAGCAAATAACCAAAATTTGTATTAGGTTTCCACCATTGCTACTTCTTCAAGGGTCTTTTGAGTGCTAGCAAGCCACCAAATTTTGAATGGGATAATGGCAGACCATCAAAGCATCAAACTAGCAAGCCATTTCTCACCATGCATAACGGGGCCTTTCTAGTCAAATTCAAGACAATCATTGGAATGACAATCCAATCCTTTGATTTAGTGGGTTATGAGTCTTAGTTTTCAGTAAAGATACTGGGTCAAGGAAGCTATTACATGATTGGGCTCATAAATAAGGCTAGCTTCCTCAACTGCAAGCACCCAAGTGAAGGAATAAATGAAGGATGCCTATGGAAGCCCTAAGAAGTTAGACTTCTGTTTTCTTTCGTTTTTCCCTTCAAGGTTACATTAGGAGGATTAGAACCCTTAACTTCTACTCACATCCCACCTAACCCTTGCTACATGTGAGATGGCTCTAGTGGCACTTTTCTAACCAAGAGGAACCTGCACTTTACAGAAGCGGGAAAATAGAAATTAGAAAGATCATTGTGCGGAGAGATCATTTAGGAAGTTCACTACGACTGCTTCTTCAATGAGGTATTAAACATTTCCCTCATTTCTCGCCTTTTTCCCAATATCCATATGATCAGACTGCCAAATATCACATTAGGCAACCTCAAAGTAAGATTGAGTTAGAGGAAAAGACATGGATCACCAGGGGAAGCAAGGCATAAAGCTAATTACAGCCAAAAGTATCATCTAAGATGTTTTGTACTTGTAGAGGGTGGGTCAAACAATTGCTTTCCATTGTCTTGGACTCAACCAAGAAGATACTAAAGGCCATGTACAGCAACAAGGTAGGCCAGGACAACGTGGCAGATGGAACCAGCCTAGTATGTTAGGCATCATCAAATTCAGTAAAGCACAGAGGTCCTTTATTCTAGTAGCCTGCAAATGTTAGAAGGCCTATTCTTTTGTTGGACTAGATACAAAAGCACTTTGGATTCTGATAGAGTTGCTTTCACTGGTCAAAGCTTGAAAGAAAAACTAGGAGGATACAAGAAAGAGGAAAGCCACATTTTGAATGTCCAAGGCGTCGACCAAAAACTTCCTACTATTTTAGAGAAAGTTCCTATGTATAGGAGTGATTTAGGTGTGCTGTGGGTCTGACCTAGAAAGGAGTGTATTGGGGATTGTGTGACTCACTTTTTGGGCTTATATTAGCTGTAAGTGGATGATGGAAGGGTAGGACTCATTTTGTTGTTTGAGAGGAGTGAGGAGAGCTCTGGCCTCTCAAATGCTAGTGGGGGGCGGAGCAAGATAGTCTTTCTTCATTATTTATGCTTCTATTTCAGTGTGTTTTCTTACTGTTGTAGCTTCTTTCTCTTCTTGGAGGAAGATTATTGTGAGTAAATTCAGATTCAGTGTTATTTTTCCATTATTTCTGTTCGGGCTCTATCAGATTCACCTTGGGCGTGAATGGGGGATCTTGAACATTGACAAAAGGAATAAAAGGGGCCTATACAACTCATGCAGCAAAGTGAACTCTTGGTTCCAATAGCCTTGGTGCATTCAGAGGCCTAAGGTTGCCACTTCTAGATTTTTGCTCTGTCCAATTAAACCTCTAAATTCTTGAACCTGTAATGATCCTTCACGACAAGGATCAACTTTAGGGAAGAGTATTGTTACATGGAAAAGACGGTTGGTTAGGAGGCTCCTGTGAGGATAAATGGGAGATGTTGGTGCAATGATATCTAAGGATTCAATAATAATATTTTCTACGTTTTACATAACAGAAGTGAGATTATTGATTGAAGTTCTTAGGTAAAAATTTAACGACAATAACATCAGTCATAATAGTGTCTAGATACATTTTTTCCCGTGCACACAAAGTATCCAAGTTAGCCACACTATTCATACCTTACGAAGTGCAACTTGATATAGATTTTATATCTTACATTGATAATAATGACAAAGATTATGACAACGAGGACAACAACAGTGATAATCATCGACAACATCATCATCATCATCAAAATAGTGACTAGATATGTACATTTTCCCGTGCACATAAAGCATCCAAGTGAGCCCCACTATTCACACCTTACGAAATGCAACCTGATATAGATTTTATATTATACATTAATAATAATAACAAAGATGATGACGATGAGGACAACAAAAATGATAATCATCATCATCATCAAAATAATAGTGATAATAATAATAATAATAATTCATTACCACCACCGACTAGTACAGCTCAGAAATATAGAAGAAATGGAGAAGAAATCAAACAGATCAACATAAATATTGAAAAAAGAAAGCAACAAATAGGATGGAAAAAATAGATTCTAGCTACAACAACTACTAAAGAGATCCAACACAAAAGAAGCAGAGAAAGAACCGAGAAGAAAGAAGATAACAGGCTTGATTTGTTTCTCTTACCACTAGTGAAGAGGGATAGAATCAAGATTGGTCACTTGTAGAAAGTTCGTATATAGATATGGATTAAAAGTCAAAGGTTTATTTTTTGCGGTGAGCAGAAGGGGTTTTAGATTATAAGACACTAGATTTCGCAGATGCAAACAATTACTTGCGCCAACGCAAATTAAGCCTATTAGCTTAAGCCAGTTAAATTCAAAACAAAACCTCTAAAATGCCAAATCTTAGTGAATTCTACAAAATAACACATTATAAGACAAAGCAGATGTTGAGCCATTCGTTCCATTGTAGTACAACCAATATGAATTTCAGTATTATCTAAGGCAGCGCAAGTCAATCATGCAGACCCTACAGTAACTAGGTGACAACTTCCACAGGAAATTTCCACATTGCATCCATGTATAAAGCCCTAACAAGCCACACAATTCATCTAGCATGAATAGTGCAGCTCACTCCTTAGACTCCATTCAACACACAGGACCCTGATATAGCTGCTATTACCGCTGGTTTTGAAAAGACTTATAGGAGGAAATTTGGTAAACAACCAAGGGATTATTCTAGAGTTCCAGAAAATGGGGAACAACTCTACTGTGCAACCAACTACTAATATTTTGAGTCTAAGTCCTACAGCTGGGGGTAGGACTACTTTTGGGAAATATAATGCTTGTAATGAGAGAAGGGGGGAAGTTTTGAGTTTTGGGACCGAACTGTAAGGAGAGGCCTGGCCTCTCGAAAGCCCAGGGGGGGTTGCTGAGTTAGTGTATTATCATTGTATTTCCAGTGTCTTTTGTTGTTAGTGTGACCGTGATATTTTCGGGTATTAAGGGAAATAGGGCTTTGGCTTGAATCAGGGAAGCTCACTGTATCTTTGATTCAATTCTGGAATATCAATATCAAAGCCTAAGGATTTTCCTCATTTATTGCTGTTCAGTATCTTTATTGCTGGGTTTGTTTTTCTGGTTTGTTGAGCATTTGAACAGGGTCGTATCAGACCCACACTAATTTCACATTGAAAACAAGAAAAAGAATCACCCAACAATGCAATTTCAGTTAATCTAGTATTTCTTTCAATGGCATGTGATCAAGGGAGTAAAGTTGAAGATTCCAGAATTCTTCAAAGAAAAGCCTTTGAAAGGCAAAACTCTTTTAGTTTTGTTTTACCAAATTAATGTGAAATTCGAGGATCAATGGTGCAACTTGGTTCATCAAATTCCAAATAATAACTAAAGCCCCAGCAGCATAACATCCAAACATAAATTAGCAAACATGCTTTGAAAGTGCATGTTGAAAGTTAAAGAAGACAATACTGAAAGCAAACCTTGGCTTGGCGAAGTTCATAAATCTCCAAGAATAATTGCTTTGAAAGCTCCTCTAAAGCTTGTACTTCTGCTTCCATGCCTTTGATATCTTCACACATAACAAAATTATAAGAAATCACAGGGTACTACATATTACTGGGCCCACGATTTCTATACAATAAACTACAACCAGGAGCTCCTTTCTGATGAGAAAGGATTTATTCTATACAATAAGCACCCAAACAGAGTATGCAGTATCAGAATGAGTCACAACAAGATAGTTTAATTTTCCTGCTAGTCTTCTATACTTCTCAAATTCTTCAATGGCCCATCATCAATGATGGGCCAGGTAACTAAAACATAAGATGCACCATCATGTACTAATGAATAGGGTATTATAAATGATTTTAAGTCTCTAAGCCTTAAATAGCAACGAAAGGTAATTATATGACTTTCAAAAACAAAAAAAAACCAAAAAAAAAAAAAAAAATCTGTTGTGCTAAAGTTATGAAAACCATGACTTGGTCATAGTCTAATTGCAAGCTGTTAACAACAGTAATTGTCTGCAACACTGGTTTCCCGTAATATAGATTTAAGAGAGGAAAGCTTCAAAATGTCATTTTAAGAGTGAAAAACACCGACCTTGCTCCTTTTGATCCTCCTGCACAGATCGAATGACTGTGCCAACTATACGTTTTACAAAGGATCTGGCATTTAACTTCTGCTACAAACAAGTTTAGATCAGTTACAAGGAATGAGATTAAAAGAAACGGAATTAATAAAGGTTTTCAAACAGAGACTAAAAGAGAAGTGGAGGAGGAAAAAAACATTTGAAACCTCAATAGTTGACCTAAAAAAACTAGAACAGAAAGCTAGCAGAAGAAAATATAAACCTCCTCAGATCCTTGGCTGCTCTCCATCTCCATCTGACAAAGTATAATTTTCTTTTTCTTTGAAATACAAGTCTCAATTGACTGCATCAGTTGTCTCTCCAAGCCTTTAATCTCTGCTTCCTCAATCTCTCTAATTAATAGAAATGTGTTATATCAACAAGCAAATGAACATATAATAATTAACAATAGCATAATACATGGTGAATCTGTGAATCTTACTAATTTTCTATGAAGAGAACTTGTAATAGTTAAAGAGAGCACAAAATATCCTCTAACATCTAACATCTAACATGCTAAGAATGATTATGGTGATGATTGGGTTTAGAAGCCCTCGAAAATACAGAAAAATCAGAAAGATATTTCTTTGAATATTCAGACGAGAGATACCATGATGCGTAAGCAGTAATAAATATAAGAATATAGGTAGTTAAGTCTGTTGGGATATGAGTCTATTACTTATAATACACACACAAGTCTGTCAGGTATGGGACAGAACCCATATAAGGGAAAGCTGTAACTAAGGTTCTCATGCTTAATCTGATTGTCAAGAGTATTATTCAGTGAAACTCTCTCTCTCTCTCTCTCTCTCTCTCTCTCTCTCTTCTCTCTTTGCTTCTCTTCTCCTCTTCATCTCTCCTCGTCTTCCTATTCTTTCCAATTCTTTCCCTGACTTTTTGACAATAGCACATCATACCACTGACCGAATTATGAGCCCATAAACCAAATGGAGAAATGCAGATAACGATAGTAACAGGAAGGGACAAGTCTGAAACCAAAACATCTCAATAAATTGGTTCGATTATATACTGAAGCTGATTTTGCTTAATAAAATAAGAATTCACTAGGAGGAATAAGGAAAAACATACACATAAAATGAGAAATTAAGTAATTACCTGATAAAAAGTGATAAATAACTGTAGGGCAAGTTCACAGCACCGAAACCAGACAGAACAGCCATAACTGTAACACCAATCACCCCAATTCTACTGACCAGTTGGGGCATAGTGAAGAAACCTAACAAGTAACAACTAGAAATGATCAGCAATATTTCAAAGTTTTTATGATGATCCAACAAGGAATAAGAAAGTGAGAGACTGTGCAGAGACATAATCCTGATGGAGTAAGCAAGCACCTTTATCAGGTGATGGCATTGGAAAGTGAATGCCCATGCGCCAAAAGGCATACAGAAAAGCCAGCAAGAACAATATAGCTCCAAGTGCTGCCCGTTCCTTCCTTACACCTGAAAATTAAATAAAGGCATACTCATGGACAACAAAGTCCCTCTTAAAGAGCTTATAAGTAGCATTCCATTGCTCAAATGCTACAGCTCATAAACCATAGGTACCTATACAATTAACTCCGCTATTATCTTGCATATGAAAGAAAGAAGAAATTATAAAAACAAACAGGAAGAGGTACAGAACTACAGATCCCTGCCCCGGCCCTGGAAGAGGGGGCTCCTATTAAAAAATAACATGGGGAAAAAGCAAAAAGCAAAAGCCACAGGTACCATCACCAAAGTACATAATAATAGTAAACCTCTGCCATTTCCGTAGAGTGATTCCCTTGAAAACCTTGATAGCAGAGCATCTTAAGGATGCATTACAACAAAGGGAAATGAAATGAGACATGCTTCAATTCAGCCCTCCTAGACATTAAAATGGAAATGCCATAAGGATTTTCTCTCAACTCGACAATATTCCATCTTGTTAGTGTTTAGCAGGGAGAGCCTAATAAATCTATCAAAATGTTGCAACAGTCAATAACATAACTACTTCATGCAAACTGATTAAAATAAGATAAAAAGAAAATTTTTTGAAGCACCTGGTTATATTGAAGGGATCTTTTATTTTTTTGGGTGGTGTTAAAGATTACCATTAAAAAAATTAGAAAATGACATATCCAAGAAAATCCAAGGACTGAAATAAACATGTGAAATGTCCCGAAAAAAAAAATCCAAAACTATACTATCGGAGCAATTAGAAAGTGAAAAGAATTTGATAGTTCCAACAGGAACTTATCAGAAATGCCACTACCTCTAAGTTCTTAATAAAATGAAGAGTCCAAGAAAGATAGGAACGTGGCTGAATTAAAAAGTTAGGATAGAACATGATGAATGGAAGAAAGCCAGTATCAATAAGGATGAAGACATCAAAAACTGGTCACTTGCCTAATCAAGCAATGTCCAGAAAGAGTAAAGTTCACACAAAACCAATTGAAGGAAAGAAACAGCCATCTAATGGACAGGCAATTGCGATAAGCTTATGTAACTAGTAGTTGAGCATGGCAACCATAAGTCTAACATATATTGTACAGTAGCAGAAAACTTTATCTCTTACTGAATTGATTCTTTTAATACATAACTAGAACTTGGATGGGTGCCATCAACAATACTTTTAGAAGTTCTACGTTTCAACGTATGACAGGTGGTGAAAATTCAAACCACCATCTTTCATAGTATCAGAGGACTACATACATATTAGTAAAGAAAGTGAAGTTTGGCTTACCACTGTTGCAGAGCATCAAGTAGCAATGATAATAGGGCAGCATGAAGACCAGTAATAAGATCAAACAGAAAAAGTCCACCTTCCAGTTCACAACTCTAGCCCTACATTCATAAAGAAATTCAAATTCCATTAGATCGTGGAAATTTTATTGTCATATATCATTTTCAGCAAATCAAGCCTATACAGCAAGGCCGATATGACCAGCTAATGAAAGTTAACCGATGAGCAGCTGAGTAATAGTATCTCAGCTCCTCAATCTTATCGAATTTCTTAGAATCAAAGACCTATCTACTAGCCGTTGCAATCATATCCCCAAATCTGCTATCATTTCCTTCTCTAGGACCTAGAATCTCGGTCAATAATTGTGAGAGATTATCTGTAATCAATCCTATTTAATGGAATCAGATTTCTCGCTATCTTGAAAAGGAAATCTGATTCCCATACATGTACTCTTCTTACCTTCAGAAATATACATAGAATTCAAATACATTTTCCCTTCCGATACAATTAACAAAAGGGTACACATGCAGGGCACTTAATACCCAAGACAAACTAGGAAAATCTAAACAAGTCAGAAATAATGATTACATCTAATCTGATTTACTTCCATGTAGATATAAAAAAATACTTTTAGATAATAAAGTGCTTAAACTAAGAAACTATTGGTCTGTATCTCTGGGCCTTAGAGCCCTAATTCCAACACTCCCCCTCAAGTTGGTGAGTAGACGTACATAATTCCTGACTTGCTTATCAGCTCTTCACTAGAATATCAGTTGTTTGCGGACTGCAGGGTGTGTATATCACTTCAATCACCTTGGTATCAAGATTTGTTTACATAGGCTAGAAACAAGGTTGTCATCATTATTTTCACACAATAATGTCCTGAACGAGACAAATGCTGGGAGATCTATGGTTATGATAGTAGAAATCCAAGGGTAACTAATTAGGTGAGCAAGAAATACCAGCATGAAAGGAAAAATGAAAGGCAATCCCCAGTTAGAGTAGGATGACACAGTCCCGTACAACAAGCATCTCCCATTGCTCCAACGTCAATGAAATGAGACAGCGGAGTTATACATAGAAACTTGTTACAATATTCAAAAGAACACCCGATTTGAGCCAAATGTGAATCCATTGGACGCAATAGGGAGTGAAATCGCTTGTGTATTTTCTATAGTTGTCTAAGTATGCGAGGCCTAAAAGAAATTAGCGTCCTAACTCTCGCTTGCATGTGCATCCAATATCGTCTCTTTAGCTAACAAACATTTGATCCGATGAAAGTAAAGCTAGAGATGAACAAGAAGCATAAATCTCAGAATTCTTGAAATAGGCAGATTCTAAAAGTGAACCAGAAGTGTAATTTGAGAAGCTTACTCTTTGGAAAGGATGGGAATGATCTCAAAGAGGACAAGCTGGAGGAGATTGCAGGAGAAGGCGAAGACGACGCTGAAAATGATCTGCACCAGCGCTCGTTTCTCTTCGTACTCTTTGTAGAGACGACGGTTCAAGAACCAGAGACCAGCCCAACCAAGTAAACAAAGAGATCCCAGCACCACGGCTCCTTCATACATTGCCCTTCCCCAACCCATCTTCGGTAGTTTTTGAGTCTCGTGCGGTTTGGATTCAGCAACTACTCTCAGATTCTAATCAAAAGCGACTGTCACAGGAGTAAGCTCTTGGAGCTTCAAAGTCGAAAGCACTGGGACTTCGATTTGGGAGGTATGCGAGAAGAATGATTCATCCATTCATTGGATTAATTCAACCATTGCCCCAGGACCTCGGGGAGAACTGGCAATGAGACTAAAACAACCCGAGCTAGGCTTCTCTCCTTTTCCTTTTCTCTCCGCTGCGGTCCGCTGCCCTCTTCTGTTTTTGCCCCCTTGCTTTCTCAACCCCCCACCAAGCCTTACCATGTTGCTTCTTCCTCCCACTTTGTCCTTAAAACGCCTCGTCTATGCTCCCAAGACGAGATAACAAAACCCGGGAAAAAAATTAAAGAAAAGAAAAGGTGGACACACATATCTTTGTTTCTATGATCTTGATATAATTGATTTTATTGTTTTTTGACCAAAAATTGATTTTATATATTGTTGACTCTTATCAGTTTTTCTCAATCATAAATATTAATCCCTATAATCTATTATCTATTAATGATGACTAATGTAAAGATGGATTATACAACATATAAGTTGTCAAAAAAAATACCAAATATAAAAAATATTACTACTTATAGTCTTTGATATAAAAACTAAATAACTAGTTTGCAAATATTAAGAAAATTAATTAAGTTATTTTTTTTAGTAGAATTAGTTAAGTTAGTTATTTGTAATAAATAAATATTGTTCGTCCCAAAATACTCTTGTTAGTAAGGGTGAAAATAGGCCAGGCCTGTTTTGTAGCCTATCGGTCTGAGCCTGGCTTGTGGCATGTTACAAGCTTATTCTTCAACTTGAGCCTGACTTGAAACCTGTTAAAAAGTCTATATTTTTAAAAAATTTAAATTACAGTTATATTTTTTAAAAAAAGGCTAAGATTAAAAAAAATGCATAATAATTAATTTTTTAGTCTTGTCTTTTATTTAAATTTTAGTATCATAAGTACTATTTTAAATCTTAATTACAATTTACAAGGATATTATTGAAAACTAGTTGTAACTATATGTTAAAATTTGGAACAAGACTACGTTCAAGTACATACAAAAAAATTAAAATTAAGACAAATAAATAAAGAGAAAAAAACTATGAATTTTACAATGAATAAAGAGGATATCATAATTTAAGCAAAATTATATTTATATCTTCACTAGTCAACTAAACTTTAAAATCTAAGGAAGGATTAAGCTATTAACCATATATTAAAATTAAAAAATAAATTCAAAGAGCACATTAACAATAGTACCATTAACTAATTTTTTCATATATTATAATTATAAATTTTTAAAAGGCTCGGGCCAGTCTAAACCTTGCCTATTCAGTTAAATAGGCTTTCAAACAAGTTTGAACCTGTTTCTTTTGAAAAACAAACCAGGCCAAACACAGGCTAGGCCATAGGCCCCTGAAAAGTTACTTGGTCTATTTCTACCCATACTTGTTAATCATGTGTATTAGAATGGAAACCTTTTAATATGTGCAATCATAATATGGACTACTTTGGGTTATTTAAAATTATAAAAAGGTTAAATTGAATTTGAATGATTCAAGACTTTGGATGGTCTAGATTAAGATAAACATAATATTACCTCTGGTTCTAAGTATAAGAGCTAGTCGGAGATTTAATTTAATTCTAAATATAATATACCAATTTACTTTGTGACATGTATTTATTCATTTTTTTAAGTAGTTCCTATTACGACTGTATATGTTAAGGGGTTTTTATTTTAATGCACATTATTAACAAGGACCGAAAAGTAGTAATATTTTTTAGATTCAATTGTTTTTTGGTAACTTATATGTTGAGCAATCCATGTTTGCATTATAATTAATAGATCATGAGTATAGGATATTTATGATTGAGAAAAACCGACAAAAGTTAACAATAAAACCAAGTGTACCAAGATCAAGATGATAGAAATAAGAGTAAAATACCCTTCTAGTTTGCATCAATTGCAAATATCTCCTCTCTATTTTAAAAACATACAGTTTAGTCTAATTATTTAACATCATTAGGAATATTTTAAAAATATTCTAAAAATATTATTTTTGACTGAAATTTAATATTAAAATAAATTTTATTTACAATTTTATCCCTTATTCTAATAAATTTTTAAATTATATTTTTACAGTTACATCAATTTCATTCTATTAAGATAAACATCAAAGATTAAATTAAAAATTTAACTAATTTTTTAATAAACATATATACTTGACTAAATATGTTTGTAAATTTTTGTAAGAAAGATGTATTTAAAAGTTGAGAATTATAAATTTAAATAATTGATAAAATCTTTTAAATTTGTATCATTTAAACTTTGTGATAAACAAAAACTATGTATTTGAAATATGTTTTTACAATTTAAAAAAATCAAAATAAATAATTTCTAATAAATGTGATAAAATATTAAAATTATAAAATTTTATGATTTAGATCAAAATTAATAAATTTATAACATATTAGAAATTTTAAAAATAATTATTTTTTATTTTATAAAAATATTTTGTGGAAAATATAAATGTCTAAATAATTATTAAGTTAAAATGAGGTATTTTGGTCAAAAAAATAATTTAAAATCAAATTTAACAGTTAACTAACAGTTTGGGTAGATGAAAATAAAATCTTAAATATAGAAGGAAGGTTTATATAACATATATTTTAACTGTAAATGAGGTTTATATATGTTTTTTAAAAAAAGGAAAGGTTTCTGTAATTGAAAAAAAATAATAGGTAATCAGTGTATTTTACTCTAGAAATAAAGATGCGCATGTGGGTATACTTTTTTTTTTTTTGGGTTTTGTTATTTTGTCCCAGGAGTATAGTCACAGATGAGGTGTTTAAATCAAGGAGAAAAAAAAGGAAGATGCAACGTGGCAAGGCGTAGTGGAGAGTTGAGAAAGAAAGAAAATTTAGAGGGGGGAAGAAAAGGAGAAAAGCCCAGCCCAAACAGCCCGCAACAAGAAAGTGGCAATACAGTAAAAATGGTGCTACTTTGCGTATGGGTTCAACTTTATCATTCATCAAACCAAAACAAATAGCTTTGGCCAAAAAAAAAAACCAAAACAAATAGCCTGCAACTGTAACACTTATTTTGGTTGTCTACTTTTATTCTGGTAAGGTCGTTTTGGTTATTGCTGGTCAAAAAAAAGGTCGTTTTGGTTATTGCTCGTTAAAAAAAAAAAAAGTCGTTGGGGTTATTTACTTTTTCAGTGTATTGATATATTGACCCCTTCGCCCTGAGGATGAAGCAAACTCCCCATCGTCCCCGGCTCCCCATTATGTGTTTTCCCCTCTCATCAAATGGCATTTATTTATCGATGTTAAATTAACAATTATTAATTATGATAATTAATAGGAAAAACTAATATGGAGGTCCTCATAGTTTATTTTAATTTTTAATTAGGTCCTTGGAAATTTTCTTTTTATTAGGTCTTTTAAGTTTTCACCGTTAAACTAGTTAGTCCCTCTTGTTTAAAGCTGTTAAATCAAAACTAACATAGTCAAAAATTCCGCTAGAAAGGGTTGAGGTGGTAACAACCACAAAAACCTTTGACAGCTAGACTGTGACTAAGCATTCATTGAGTTCCATCGTCTTCTCTAGCCAAGCGAGATTCATTGTATTTAGTTATACGCTCTCTGCTAGGGCCTCTCTCTCTCTTGAATGCTTGTGTGCTCTCTCTCTTGAATGTTTGTGTGCTCTTTCTTTTTGTATTCAGTTCTACTCTCTCTCTCTCTTCCTGTCTTCTGTGATTGTGTTCAATTCATGCTCTCTGCTTGTGCACTCTCCCACCATAGTTTATCTTTTGGTGTGCTTCAGTCCCAAACTCTTTTCTAGCCTCAAGGTGTATAGGTGAATTTGTATTTAGTTCTCGAAAAATGACGCGTAGAGAAGTTCGCTTGCCATTATTTTTTCATCTCGCTATTATTATTTATCTTATTGTGTGCTCTAGTTTCAAGTCTCCTTTGGTTGGGTTTCACTTCTGTATGCGTGTTGGAAAAGAAGATTCATACATATATAGCAGTACATTTAGAAAGGATTCTGTGGTTTTTTCAATTTGGCCGCTTATTTCATACTTGAATGACTTCAAGCTCAGAATTTCATGATAGTTTTGTTTGACCAGACTTGTAATTCAAAAGTTGCCATAAAACAACTCAAAAGGAAAAACTTCCCATACAATTATATTCGGTTCCTTGGGCTTGAAAGACGCCATTTCAGCAATGCATAATGACATAATATGCATTAGGCCATCGATGAGTTTTTATAACCTTAGAATTTACGCAAAAGCCATCTTCAAGCCCATATGGGATTTCCCCTTTAGCACCTTCGACAGCTTGTGTCGCTGGTCTAAATTTTTCTCTTCGCCCACGATTTGCGCAAAAGCCAGCTTTAGCCTCAATCTTCTGTGCTCTTACTCTTTCGAAGTATCAAGTGGCAACTTTGCTTGCTTTTTGCAGAAGTTCAATGATCTCCTGACTGCAAACCCTAGACCATTCCAACTTCCAAATGGCTTTTGCCTTTCATTCTCTGTACCCCGACTTGGCTCCACCCTTGTGTTTTCTCAATCCACGTTGCAATCTATGTCCATATGTGTGCTTAATTAGATCTTATTTAGAACCACATCATCTCTGTCAAGTTTAACTAACAGCACGTCAAAGACTTTTTAAACGGAAGGACTAACGCAATTAACTGAGCAAACAATAAACCCTTGATAAAAAGGGAAAAAAAACTCTAAGGACCTAATAAAAAACTAAGATAAACTATAAGGATCTCCATATTAGTTTTTCCTAATTAATAATCATCAAACTTCGTACCTCTTGGTCTAGACTCTTCGGCTCGACTAGAAGGACAAGTGGATTGTAGATTGCTTTTTTTTTTTTTTTGCCATTGTAGATTTTATTACTACATTCCATGAGAGATAGGTTTTTTTCACTAGGCATATGTATCAAGCAATCCTATTACGCCTCTTCAAGCGAGATTTTGAGTTTTGATTCGTCATGTTGTGAAGGACTATCCTTTTTGTTACACCCAACCTCCTTTAATTATCTAAGAATGTCGAAGTTTAGAAATCCTAGCCCTACCTAATATGGTATCACATCACCTACGAAGAGTTAGATCAAGCATCCCGTCTTGGCTAGGGTTGAGTCCAAACCCCTCCCTAAAAAGTTTTGTACCAAAAAAAAAGTTTAGAAATGCTACATACTTCCTTTTTATATTTTTTTAACTAAAGACAAAATGACATT